ATTGAATTGTTGAATAATAGTCAACTTTAGATATTTTGGTTCGATGACTATGTACAAAAGAACGCACACGAGGCTCCGGGGAAACAATGGATAATCTTGATTTATTCTTTTATTTCCCCGGAGCCTCGTCTGCAATTCTTTTGTGCATGGTCACTGAACCAAAATATCTAAAGTCGACTATTAGACTGCACTTAGGTGTTAGAGAGTTAGCGACGTTGGAAGGTTCGGGACTGTGCAGGAGTGCGTAGCAGTCGACACTAATTATTCAAAGTTCTTATAGCGTGAAATTGGTATGTCCGCATTTTCCGTTTTTTTTTTCTTTTCCTTTTATTTTTTTTCTTTTCTTTTTCTTTTGATGGAGAAGTCTTCGTTTCTACACCGATGATGTAACGATCGTTTTCAGCCAGCAAATCTGTGGACTTTTTTCGAAACTTTGTTCGAAACCAGTCCCGTCTTCGAGTGGACGGGGCCTATTTCTACACGCTAGTTCGATTGCTGTGATGCCGAAGGCGGGCTTGTTAATCTTACAGATTTAGTTCGACATGTTCAGCTCGACGTACATTAGTCTAAGTAGATCCTAATTATGGTCGGTTCAAGTTGATCAATATTTTTACTTGAGATGGCATTAGTGATAAATTGATTGTATTATTGATTGATTGATTGATTAATTGTACGTCTGATTGATTTCTATTTGGATCCATTAATTGATTGATGTGATGATAAGTTGGATGATTGATTGATTCATCATTGAATCGTTCACCAAGTGCGTAATTAACGTTTCTCTTTATTACATTTGACGGCATGACTTTGTTCTGGATCAGCGGCTATTCAAGTGACAGGTGATTGGTTGGTTGAACAAGACTATTAGACGCTTGATGGAACTTCAACAAAATATTAATAAAAAAGCTAATTTGTAGCCATAATAGTTGCCGAGAACATTCAAAAATCAAGCCTGACACATCAGCGTATTTATCAGCACAAAATAAGATTTATTTGTATACTTTTATTACAAATTTTAATATGTATTTGTTATGGATTCGGATCACTAGAACTCCACCGCCTGTAGTTCTGGTATATGAGCCGATCATAAACATAAATACCAGCCGGCCATATTTGCACTATCATGTGACGTATTTAAACCAATGGCAATATGATTTTGATAAATGAGGACTTGGTTAATATACATGACAATGCGACAAAGTCAGTTTCCCAATATTCCTAAACAACTTTGTCTCCGACTTAAAACAGGAAAAAAAAGTTGAAAATAGTGATTTCTGTTTGATAACATCGTTTTCTTAGTTTTGTCGATGTTGTCTATCGTTTGTTCGTGAAGTTTTGAAAAGTTGCCAACAATGAAATAATTTGACAGGAACTTAAACGATTTATTGTCCGAAAAACGTTATATTTACAGATAAGAGGAATGTGAAATTTATACTGCTTGGAATAAGGTCAGTTCCTCGCTTTTTTCGTTTTAACAAGTGTGATTATTATTTATCAAGCTATATCTTCCATTTTATTTCATGTTATAGAGTACTAGAACTATGACAGCTAGCGTCCAAAAGCAAACTATCCTACCGGGTCATAAATGGCAAGTTTCGTGTCTAGAGTTCAGTTCCGATGGATTTTATCTCGCGTCTGGTGGTTGGGACAAGATGGTTTTAATATGGGACTTACAAACTCTCGATGCTTCACAGAGAATCGGCTTTCATAGCCAACCTGTAACCTGCTTATCATTTCAACCTACAAAACCAGGACTTCTCGCCACGGGTTCTGCAGATCAAACCGTCGCTATATGGAATCCAGTAAACGGTGCTTTGGTAAAAACCCTTCAGCACCACAACAACTGGGTTTTAAGCACTTGTTTCTCGTCAAATGGAAGGCTGCTCGCCTCTGCATCGTGGGACAAAAGTATCTCCGTTTCTGATGTCGAAACAGGACAAGTCTCCAGTAGTCTGTCGGGGCATACTACAGGGGTTTGGACTTGTGCATTTAGCCCCGATGATTCTCCGAGCAGCGATACTCTCTGCTCAGGGGCTGAAGACGGCTCGCTCAAACTCTGGGACTTGAGATCCAAGTCAGTCGTAATGTCACTAGTTGGTGGACACGAAGATCGAATTAAATGCTGTTCGTGGAGTCCCAGCGCTCAATACGTGGTGTCGAGTTCTGCCGATGGAAAGGTAAAATCAGTTAAAATACGAATATATGCGAAATTCCTAGGAAATTATATTATACAATACGTTTAGTTTCATCATGGACCGTCGAAAAGACGTGACGTTGTTCACTGTAGGGTTTTTGTCATTACATATGAAATATGCAAAACTTCTTCAAGAATTACAAGTTTAATACTAAAACCTCACCGCTGATTTTCTAAGTTTGCTATAACCTTATTATTTTCTTCAAATACTATTCAAATAACTTATTAAACGTTGAGAAGTACTCTGTTGTGCACGACTGATTGTGCATGCATCTTAGGGTATTTTTTTCTAGTAGCTTCAACATGGTTACAACATCTATTTATTTATGTAATGAATACATCTTCCGATTTCACCTGCTTTTGAACTTTCCCACGCATGGTTCAAGGCGTAATTTTTAATGTTTATTCGATGTAAAATGAATTTATTCCGTTATTAAGACAGTAAAAAGAGATAAACCCCTTAGTACTGTGTATTTTCACTAAGTTTCAATACGAAATTCATACTTATAAGAACTGAAATCACAGAGTTTATAGCACAAGTTTCTATATACACATGGGATTTAGCTGGTCTCATTCAGTCATCTTTATTTTTGGTATACTCGAGCTGTTGTTAATTATGTATTTATAGGGATGAGTGCTTTGCATATTGAACTGACAAGTAATTGGAATTCATTAAGATCAGCAGAGGAAAACGTTTACGTTCGTCATAAGTACTTTTTACGTGCCATGTAGAACATATTGGAGTTATTTCTAAACGTATATCCTGCGAGCTAATACCTCGAAATCGCGAAACGTATACAGCAATGCTCTATAAACACGGTTATTTCCTTTATAGAGATGTAATCCACGCTTCTGGTACAATCGTTGCAAAATGCTTGGAACACAAAAGTAACTTCGGTATTTTTAGCAACACCATGAAACTATGACAACTTAAGTGGCAGATTAAGTGATTGCCAGCAAGATTATTGTACATTCAGAAATAATGACAGTTTTTCACCAACAGGAGAGGATTAAAAGTTTCTAAACTAAGCTATCCGAGGGGCTAAATAATCTAATGTCTATAAAACATGATTACGAGAAGTGTTCAATTTTTTTTAGCGGCGTAAAGGGAGAGTGTTTTGTCAATTCAGTGCTAGGAAAGGTCTACAAATGCATTTCAGAATCGCAGTTCAGATTCCAATTCCCATATAGAACAGTTCAGTATTTCAGAGAAGAGAAGTCGAGGGTTCCTCCTGACAATTGTATACTCCCGTAGCCCCCATAAGCCAAAGCTGCCTGTAAATTTGTCCAAGCGACAAAAGCTTCCACCTGAACAAGCGGCTTTGACTTAAGGTTGCCTTTCTGCAAGTTGACGCTGGGAACTTCGAAGTCAAGAACACGATTTTTTAATCAATTCTGTCTATACGCATGGCCGACGCTTACTTCATAAGCGACATCGCTCAAAACTATTTGAATCTACCTGTTATTTATCTAACTCACATTTTAACAATATACATTTGTTTTAAGCTGGTCCTTTGGGAGCCGCGAAGTGGTACAGCACTTACAAAAATCAGGGCATACGATGACTCGGCCAACAAAGTGCTGTTTTATCCTCTTACCAGAGACAATTCCGTACCATTGCTGTTTTCAGTTGGTGGACGGACTTGTAACATCTGGCATCCCTTCAGAAAGCAGAACAAACAGATTCTTTCAGTAAAACTCAACAGATCAGGCGAAGAGGTATGTGCATGTATAAGAAATGGCTTCAGTTGGATTAAACCCTGGGTTGTCTTTTGGTACACCATGGGTACACATTCTCATGAAGGCCGCGCAAACGCTTCAATTCTATTTAGTTGAACGGTGTTGAACGATATATCGAATGTCGAATGCGCAAACGCGTTCAACATTGCCATTCGAGAAAATCGGACAAATGTTGAAGTTAGTCTTGAAGTCGTTTGTGTTGCTTAAGTGCCACTCAAGTCCCTTTTACCGCAGCACCTTAACAGTGTCTTTTTACTTTATTTACTCCATATTGGAATAAATGATCTTTCACTGAAAGTCTAAGTGGCTCATTATCAGAACACACCTCTCATCTCTTGAAGTGACATGTTCTTTGTCATGATTAACAATATACAATTTTTCATCAGATTCAAGCTCTTGGGATATCTCCCGATGGTTCTCTGTTAGCTACTGCTGGTACCGATAAAGCTATTTCCCTCTCAACTGTTGACATTTCATTGGATCAAATAGATGCCCTCCCTGTAGAATCCGCTGACAAAACAAATCGTGGGACGCTTCTGTGGAAAAAGTACACGCGTAAAGTCATCGAGCAAAAAATCAGTAAGTCAGCTTAGAGAGGAGAGCTGTGTTTCTTTTAAAAGTGCATTCCATTTGACAATGTAGCACTTAAGCCCACTGTTTGCACAGCAATTTAAAACTCTTGCATCTTCATTTAATTAGCCTGAGTATCAAGCTCTCTCGAAAGGGTTTTTTTTTGGATACTCAGGCTATCACTTAATTAATGTAATTATTAACTAAATTAGCACATACAAGAGCAAAACATACCTTTAGCGGGATCTGACCCTTTTCACACTGTATATTTTTTGACGTGAAAACGTCATTCGAATTTTTTCAATGTTTTAATCCTACTACTAAAGCCTACTAGAATAGGCATGAATTTTATTCATAAATTAAGAGCACCTTTTCGGGTTTTTTTCGTGTCCGCTAAAACAGTTCTTTGAAAAGTAGTTTTGAGATTTCTCCCTATAAACATTATAGCCTCTAGGGATATTATAAGTGATTAATAAACAGTGCGAGGACTACTACTACTCCCAGCATGCTTTGTTGTACAAAATGGAGTCACTGTCTATATTTATATCAGTTGTGTAAAGAAGATAAGTTTCATACTTTTTTACGGTGTTAAACTTATCTTCTTTACACAACTGTTTCTTTAGAAACACCGACGCAGCTCACACTAGTTTACCGCTAGTTCCCACTATATTTATATCACCTTTTTTTCTTGGCAATAATGATTTAACCAGTTGAGAGTTTTTTTCACCTTTTTTCTCCAAATCACCAGATACGGCGGGAAGACATCCTGTATTGACTCCTGCCATTGATTCAACACGAAAATCCCCGGCATCGCTAAATGGCGTTGACAAGCATGAAGTCGTCCAGCGAAAAACTTCAGGGTCCTTAGTAGGCATGGCTGTACAAAAGTACGAGATTGAAGAAAAACACCACGTAGAACGAGCCGAACCTCCTCTTCATAATACACCAGAAAAACTGCACGCCGAGCCAGAAGTCGTCCTTCTTCACCAAAGGCAGAAACTTCGTCCGAGGAGCGAGAACTTTTCAGACTTACGTAAAGAAGATCACCTTGCTAATGGTCAAAACGAACTACAAAGCGCTAGACAGCTGCTTCGTAAAGTACGTCGAATGAGTAATGGAAGTGAAGTGAGCAGCAGTAGTGGCCCAGAGACTAATGGCCATGACTATAGCGTGTTTGCAAAAGTAAATGGATGGAATGAGATGAGAAACGGAGGACGCCACAATGGATACACATCTCCCCCGTCAGCACCATCCTCAACTACTGACGAACAAACAACAATTGTCAATATCGATAGCGAGAGCGACGATCTTGATAACACTTACGATTTTGTTGATTTTAATCCTTCACAAGTCCGGGGGGTCAACGTACAGCCCTCCAGTAGATATAACCACTTTAACATTGCGAATAATAACCGGGGATATCATCCTAACAACAGCCCTGATGACGGCGAGTCGACGAGTGTAAGCAGCAGTAGTTATTACGCCGACATCGACGACGTAGCTCAAGAAATGCTGGAATTATCGAGAAAAATAGAGGACCATCGTTTGTAACTGAAGTCCTCAGACATACATGTAACAAGCCTGTATTGCTGAGATGCACGCCGGATAGTTGTGTAACCAAACTTACAAAAAAATAATTAACTGGGCCATAATTCATATTGAAAATGTCTCTCGCATAATCAGGAGCGATTCAGAATTGAACGCTTATACTCAGCACCAGTCGCCTTCTTCTGTAGTTCACTTTCAACTGTAAACTAAGGATGAATTGTTAACATTGTGTTCAAATGCATGTCATTCAGACCAAAACTTGTATTTACATAGGAGGAGCCGACGGGGTCTGCTCTTCTAAATAACTGTTCTTGTACGATTTTATTCCGGGGAAAGGGATTTTGAGCTATATTGTCGACAATCTCACAAGCAAATGTGGCGCCCTTCTTTCTTTAAAATAACTTTGTTCCTGGCAAACGTTTCTAAGGTCAAAAAAAGCTTATATGACGTTTTTATGGTCAAAAACGGCTTCTATGTTTTTTAGTTAGGAAATTTTTATATTTCTGGCAAAATTTCTTAGAAAGTATTCCTCCTGGAAATTCTTCTTTCCTGAATTTCTCGCTGGTAACCAGTTGTGACTTACAGCTGGCAGGAACATAAGAACAGATGTATTTCTCCCAGGAACCCGTCGGCTCCTCCTAATTTACAGGGGTTTCTACTAAAAACTAAAAAAACCCGTCAGCGTTCACATCTGAATCGGCCACTTGACCTGATACAGCCTGACTCGTGCCCAGTGCTCATGCACGTAGACAAGTAACTCAGTCAAGAGAATACTGGCAAGATAAGTTTTCCATTCATACTAAATTTATGCGTTTTCTTATCATAATTGTTTGCTGGGTATTAGCATGTAATGAAATTGTATAAATGAGAATATGCCTATACACACAAAGATAGACTTAGAAGGCACGCCTCAATCCTTCCTAGCCTAATATTAGACAACAACACATTGACGTATCACGGAATATTCTAATCCGTAGAGGCGGTCTGTATGTGATTTGATTTAAAATATAAAAGACTGTTGTTTGCATGAAATGAAATTTCTTATGTCGAACTGATAATAAGCACAACTCGCCATTTCTTGCTCGCATTCTTGTCCTCGATTCATGGGTCATCATAGACTCCTGCACAGAAAGAGCTTGGTACTGATACCGTGTGAGTGTCTTACCTCTTGGCCAGGAAAAAAGGGGATGGTTTTCTGGGTAGGAAGCTAGTCCAAGGAAGGCTTTATGGCCCCGTTGCATTCTTGTCTCATGGACAGCTTCGGCAACTATTCGGAATAACGATTTCGTCGCGAGTTAATAGCGAGAGACTTGACGCACGTCTACGTCTTGACAGCTTCAGAAGCACTGAGGACTTTCAATTTCAAAAAATAATAGAAAATGTAACAAGCAGCTCTAAAGATTCTGTCTTCGGGCGAGGACTATAAACAGGTATGGGGGTTATGGCGCACCCAAACTTAAGACAAGCCCTGTATCCCAATACAAAGTCAACGGCAGTGGAAGCCAACTTAAGTTTTTAATAATTATGTACATTTTGCTGTTTTCCAATGAACATCAATAACGATTTTGAGTCTTAGAATGCTAACAGGTTACGTTACGTTATAGTTTACATTAAAAAATCTCTACCTAAACTAACTATCAATTCATCGATGTTATGACGCTAGTTCATAGTTCTTTAAAGATGATTTCTTAAGAAGTTCACTAAATGTTTGTTTTACTGCCATACATAGTTTGATATCATCCGAACAGTCTTCAGTGCTGTGTTCGTCGTGTTCAGTAAAACCATGATCTTCACAAGCTTCATCAGGCTCAAGACCGTGGGTTAGCTGAGCCAGCAAAGAATTATATTTCCCTACAAACATGATATGGTGATTAAAAACAACTAAAAACCGTGATTTTGTAATGAAACATTTGTTCTTTATGTAGAATAACAAATTGGAACACGAGGTAGAGCACGACTGGGGTCAAGAGTAGCACAGGTCGAAAAAACACCAATCTGCGGCAATTTAAATAAATTCATGTCTATTTTCAAGGAAAACACTTGCTTTAAATGGCATATGGCGCCTCTTCTTAAAATCTGCTTTATTTCCGCGGTATTCATTGCAGAAAAGAAAACGATAACAAAACTGAATATCATAATAATAAGTTACTAACGACGTCAATTAAAATGCAAACACATCTTTCTGGCAAATGCTTCTTGCTCTTTGAACAACTCTTGAAGAGCTTGATTACCACCGTAAGAGCGATTACCACTCAAGAGTAATTTTCGTGTATAAATGCATGGGAAATACTATTTGTAAGTCTATAAACCGAGGGATATCTTAACAGTTCAGGGAAGTAACGTTCCTGACTCTTACTATAAATACTGTTAGTTTTCCACAAGAAGCAACTAGTAACCCTTACCTACGGACGACGCTCTACAGTCTTTGACATTCGATGCCGCTACTTTCCCCAACTGCACCAGAAAAACTGTAGCATCACCGAACAAGGGAGGGAATGCTTGACAAAAACGAACTAATGTCGGCAGTGCTGGAATGAAGAATGACGTCAGCTTGCCACTAGGTAACGCTGCCAGCAGTGAAGACATTCGACTAAATATGTACTTGGCCACACCCATTGCCTTTGGAAGAGGGTACTTGAGAGCAAGGTGTGAGGCGAGTTGGATTGCAAACAACTGCGAAATATAAATTCAATGGAAATACTTTGTAGGTCCCATCTCCATCTTAAAAGGTAGCCGAGCCTTTGCATCAAAACGAGACAGCAGCTAAGCTTGCAATGATATACATCTATGAGCAATAGACCTCTGAAGCTCTTACGTCATATACATACGTCATATGCATACGAAATGCATTGTGGGATATGTTTGGAACAAAACATGACGGATTTCTTTCTCGAGTTGTTTGACTCACTGATATTTGTGTTTCTACGACGTTTCGACGCCATTTTGGTCGTCTTCTTCAGGTATAACACATTGTTTGTATCTTTGAAATATAATTTTGTTTTCTTCAAGAACAATGCATTGAAAATCATGTACATGACGTAAAAGCTTCAGACGTCCGTTGTCTTAGGTGTTAACAAAAGATGATCTTTCAATATGGCACTTTCGAACTGTAAAATGGAGTATTCTTACCTGTTTCTCAATGTGAGGTTGATTCACGAGTTCAGGTATAAAAGCCAGACAAATATGCATGGATGGTACACCAGCAACTGTTACGGGCAGTAGTTCTGCAGGGTAACCCTGTGTTAACAAAAGGCAAAACGTGTAATATAATAGCCGTTGGAATAGAAAGATACTATGTTCATACTTTGACGATGACAATACCTGGAAATGAACCAGTTTAGCGATATTTGGATCGGCAATAAACATTTGATGAAGGGATGAGCAAACTCTGCACTGAATCTCGCGCAAAACACAGCCATGCATGCTTCCTTCCTGAAAATATGAAATTATCAAAAATTCAAACAAATACTACATACTAACAAGTTTCAAATATTATCATTATTTCGTTATGACGTCACAGCATCTTCCCAGGGGGATGATTAAAACAATAAGAATTTGTACTTCATCTTCTTTCTTTTCAAACTAAACTTTAGATTTTCCCATTTTAAAGTTTTTAGAGCATTTAGTAGTCATTCATCTCTCCTAATGTTCACTAAATGCCGCTGTTCTGCCCTTCTCTGGTGAGAATAATCCTAGTGCCAAAACAGTTTGATGTCATAGTTCCAGGCTGAGTCTGTTTTTGAACTGGTTTAGCAAGTTATTACCGGTTTATCCTGTTTATTAGGAAGGCAAATTTCCAGCAGCAACTGTATGGCAGCACTTTCTTGAGCAGCTGATAACGCCAGACGTAACTCTTCCCTTTCTAGCTCCATGTTCATAGTTGAGCTATTACCGGTCTGGGTTCGTTTAGGGACGGGATTTGCTTGTAAATGTTGACTTAACATCGTACGAGATGCAGCGAGATAGCCATGAAGAATGCGTACTACAATGTCAAGAACGGGTGGACACCTAACAAAAACAAAATCAAAAGAAAATGTTAAAAATCTATTGAAACACATAAGAACAAAACAAACTGTTCCCTGCAAGGAGGGAATTTCTAAAATTCAGCGCCAGGAACATGGCAGAAGCATGGATTCAGAAACTTTTTTATTGAATTATGCGGATCATATGTAATAAATCAGTACATTCCCAAAGGGGACCGACCACCCTGGCACCACCTTGGATCCGCCACTGAGAAGGATTAAAGCAAGTTACTATGTTTTCCAAAATTCGTTTTGCGTCGCGTTAAAGAGTTTGAGACATGCTTTAATTGCTGTTGTCAGTTGTTGTTGTTGCTGCTGCTATTGCTGGAGTTGATGTTGTTGTTGTTGTTGTTGTTGTTGTTGCTGCTGTTGTTGTTGTTGTTGTTGTTGTTGCTGCTGCTGCTGTTATTGTTACTGTAGTAGTTGTTGTGAAACTTCATCTTTTATTGTCATTGTTTAATACATGAATTGGTGTTTTTAATATTTTGGTTTTACCTGAAGACTCTGGAGTTACACCTCAGCACAGTCAACGGGTCTCTAATCAGTTCTTCCTCAGTATAAGGGTGTGGACCACCATCGTGGCACAAGACATTGATAGTTGTAAGCCATAACCTGAATTAAAATAACAATGATTCCTAAACCAGAATGATAATAACACTAGGAAACCTTCAAACGGTGAACTATGAATCTAGCAATCTGATTGGCTGATGAACTCTGGACAATTCAAGACTGTCTACTTCGCAGTGGAGAATACAGAAAAAAAAGTTGACAAAATTTCTCTAATTTTTCCGTACAGTTTGCTGTTACAACAAATACAGTTTCATGAATTATGAACTCGCACTAGTTAAGCTTGTTCTAATTGTTGAATGCATCAAATTCTTAACAATAATAAGTTTGATGTCATTGGATACTGGCGTAATGCAACAGTCCTAGTCCTCTCGAGTTTCTCTACACTCTCCTAACGGTGCATGAATACGACATACGACAATTTGTTCACATTATCTATGAGAAATGAATCTTACTTTCTAGGTATGATTGTGCTTATTCTGGACCAAAGGTAACAACAGAGACTTTGTATACGTCTTGGCGTAGATGGGTCTGTCACCAGAGGCAGTGATGTAACCAGAGCGTCAGTGTAGTCTATCAAATTACTCGGCTCCATGTTTGAAAGCTTCATCAATACCAGAATAGACGCTGATGGATTCTCGTTGATAATACTTAAAGCTGGAAAAAGGAATAAATAATAGTAACATTATAGTCAATATTTTCCCTTGCATCAAAGAACTTTTGTTGTGCATTAAAAAAGAATGGATTTAACATTCAAACTATAGGGATTGCATTTGTTA